TCTGTCATGCTGAATTTCATTTCCATAAGCGAAGTAAATCGGCATTAGTTTTTTCAAAACAAACATTTCGCAGTTCTTATAAAATGAGTTAACGCGCTCTAGGTTATCCGCATCAATGAACGTTTGCGAATATCTGATTTCAGTCGAAATGCCATCGATGTAAAGAAGAAAAGCGGACTCAGAACCGTGCCTTGAATTATGCCACCCGAGATTGACTGAGGTGTCGAGTAGCTATTGCCAACCGTGACTTTCTGATAGCGGTTGGATAGATAGGACCCGATGACGCCAAGTAGAAGAGGCCAGATGCCGAGGGCTTGCAATTTTACCAAAAGACGCCTAAATGGCACCTTGTCGAATGCGTTGCTAAGATTAAAGTAGTTAACTATAACTTACTGCTGCTCATTACGAGTATAAGTGATTAGCTTATGAAAGGCTAAATGGTAAGTCTCGCGGGATCTTTCAAGTAGGAATCCATGCTGATTAGAACCCATAATATGATTAGCTGGACAGAAGTCAACAATTTCATTGGAAATTATCCTTTCAAAAAGTTTTGTTAGAGACGGGGTTTGTGCACGCCCTGGCAGTTCTTAACATTTGATCATGACAACGCCCATAACTGTCCCTCGTCGCTTCTTCTTCCTGCGACAGTTGCACTATCCGCTTTCGCTATTCTGGCTTCCAGTTGGTCGTCACCCACTTTCTACCTTCTGCTCGCTGCATCTCACACCAATCGCGTTTTTGCACGTTCTTGGACCATTTTGTACAGGTTTAATTTTTGTTTTAAACTTGGTGAAGCTTATTCTTGCACCTCATCTCAATCTTTGGCTGTTTCCACTAGTTGGGCGGATAATTGTGGTTTTTTGGTCAGCTTTACTTGCAAAACCTCTTTTTATCTCCATTAACGCGTTGGAGTTGGTTTGCGTTCGGTTTCGGTTACACGTCTACGTACGTCAGTCACACCGTCACCAGCGGGTGTGAAAACTCTGCCTATTATACAAGGAAAAGTTCTAAGTTCTGCCGCTTATCTGACGGCCCAGGCAGGCCATTGCACTCTGTACTGTCTTTACTGTATTGCACTACTTTAATAGGTGACTCCATGTTAATTTTATCTAGATGCTGCCTTCTGATCGCTTAAAAGTAGAACCACTATCACTATTATTCAGGAATTACGGTTTCCATTTAGTGAGCTCGCCAAGGGAGAGTTTAGGCTATAGGTTGATAACTTAATGCAAAGCCTAAAGATCTTAATATTATGGAAAATGAAAGCGTCCACGATCCTATTGTGCATGGCAAAGTCTTAGCACTGCGAGTTGGGAACAAATTCACAACAGTCCAAGAGTCAAACACCATCTTCATGGTCATTTAACATTGAGGATACAGCTATTAAGACAGTCCCAGAATCTGCGCTAATTTACCATCAGTACAAGAGTTCAGGTTACAGCAACCGGTTTTTTGCCGAGAGATCGCATTGTGTGGTCCCCGGTGAAAACCCGAATAAGAGGGTCAAGCGTGATCTCTTGGCATTCCCCACCTTACTGGATGACACCCAAAAACCCAGTAAGGCAGTCGAAACCCAACCATTTTTCATTTTGGGTTTTTGGTTAGAAACAACGCAGACTTTAGAGAGAGTAACTCTACCTCAGAATGGACAACAGTGGAAAGTGGTATCCCATAGGGTTCTTTTTTAAGGCCCACCACTCTTCTTGACTTATTTTAATGATTTCGCCGGCGAACTAGACAGTGAGGGTCTCATTTTTGTGGATGCATTAAATTATAGAGTGGAGTCAAGTGCGTTTATGACGCAAAGAAGCTGCAATGAACCTTGAAAAACGGAGTGTTTGTTCAAACAGATGGCTTTTGAAGTTTAACGCGTCCAAATGCGTGGTCTGACACCCAAACGCCGGCCAAAATACCTCTCTTAAACACCGGGACTGTCTTAACGGAACGGCATTAGAAGAAGCAGAAAGAGACAGACACCTAAGTGTATGGATGATCGCAATTCAAGTGTCGTCGGAACACTGTAAGATGATAGTCCTGTAGGGAACCAGTACTTTTCACTGGGTCAGACGTGCACTAAAGATATTTCCTTACGAACTTATCGGGAAATTTTTGACGTCTTTGCAAAACCCCTGCTGGGATATGAAATGCCAGCAGCTTAACCATGGGTGAGGAAGGATACTAACCTAGTTGAACAGGTGCATCGCGGAACCACAAGGAAAGACGATGACCTGCAGTCCATGTCCTTACAGAGAGTCTGAAAGTGCTTTGCTTATTTCCCCTATCTCATAGGCAAACGAACTGCAGTCTACTCTGGACATTCCGAATTTTCTGCGGCCATGGTTGGTCACTGAGAGCGGAGGACTTCCTTGAGTTTACTTGTACTAATCAGTTGCGCGACCATCCCTGCCAAGTCACAAACGAAAGCGGGCAGCTGGAGTTTAGGAAGTTTTCGTTCAAACCAACGGGTTGTCTGACCATGGAACACGCTACCAAGCGGGATGGTGACGGCCGACGCAATAAGAGCGCTTAAAATAGAACTATCTCGCATACGTTTTGACAAAGGCCGACTTTTACAACATGACCACTCGCAACCAACCTTATAAAACACTGTTATACAAAATCTTTCCGTACTGACTCACAGTGAACAGTTCCGCTTCCCTGTTATTAATGTTGTATCATTAACCTATCCCATTCTAAATGATTGTAACTTTTTTAAGCGCAGATATGCTAAATTATTATTGCATAACAAGGTTAATAATGACTCTGCTCTAGATCTTCAAATGTGTGCATGACTACATCTCGGCCATCGTTGACGACGATGTCCACTGTGTGCCCCACATAAAAGTGGAGCAGGGACAGTGACTTGCACATGAATTTGTTTATAGTAAATGTTGACTTGCACAGCAATTACCACGTTCACCACTCCTCTCCCATATGGATCCGGTGCAAAGACATAGTCAAAAAGATTGGAGGCGGGGGAGGGCGCAGGTGGATGGCACGGTCGAGCCCGCCCCTCAGCGGTCCACTCGACACTCCCTGGTCCACAACACATACTTCGCCAGAATTTTACTCAAAAATGACAAAAGAATGGAGGCTGGCACGGCCAAAGCCCCGCCTAGGCATGCCGCTACATCCAGATCGGATCCCTGGTATTGGGAGTGCCATAAATGCCACATTAAGAATAAGCCATTGCAGCCGGACTTTTAGCCGACCAGTCGACCACTCCACAAAAACGCAAACCACTGGGCCAACTACGATGTTCAAATTATTCCGTCAGTTGACGACCTTCCAAGCCATGGCTATAGCTTCAAGAGCGTCAGATTGTTTATAGTGGGGAAAATGCGCTGAGTCGTCGACCTCACTCTCCCTTCCAATTCCCAGTCCCAGCCACTGTGCGAGCCGGTCAGTTTACTGATGCGGGGAATGGGCGCGGTGGCTGACATAACTAATGGCATTATCTGCACGTGCCACGTGTACGACCTGGCCTACCAAACACAAGCAGCAGGATTTCACACAACGGGGGTTGAGAGACCTACATCTCACATGCATAAGAGTGCCACAGATCACGTTGAGAAGGAGCCGCTTCAGCCTGGCTCTCGGTCCACCAGTCCGTCACTCCACACAAACACGCACGCACACTAAACTGGACGGACTACATGGATCGAGTTGGGGCGCCAGTCAGCAGCCTCCCAAGCCAAGGCGCTTGACGCGCCGCGATGGTCTCGACTCAGGTCACACATGCAGCTGTTGAGCCACATGGAGGCGGAGTCAAAACTCACACTTCCCAGGAGATGGCATTTGGGCATTTGCGGTGGGTGATGTTGATGTGCGATGAGGTGTTAGTGAGGGAATGTATGATGGTCTGGCGCAGCCGGCGGCGGTCTACCGCAAATTTTCGTGGACATGCATGTGGCCGAAGAGGACCATTCGGTGCATGAAAGTGCGAATGCGATACGGACAATGGAGGCGGATGCGGCGAGTGTGGGTTGGTGCTCCAGGCACTGGTTCGCCAGTCTCCGGGCGATGGATTTCCAAGTGACCGATCAGGCCGATGTGTGGGGTGAAGGTGCGGTCGCAACGACGACAGGTATAGACCAGGTTCTCATCATTGGTGTCGACGGTGATGATGTTGAGGGAGACATGATCGATGGAAAAAGAGCTTTATTAGCCTGACGTCTTGGATTCCTGCTCGAACCCATCATCAGATACAAAAGCAGATACGCTCGGTAGAGTGGTCAGAGTTAGTCGGTGGCGTGGGAGGCGAGGGAGAGGTGGACGGAAAAACAACGGTTGGTGCTTTCCGAATGCCGCAGTTGATTCGAAGGTGTCCAACAAGTCCACCTGGCACCCTGAATGCCCGCTGACACCGTGGACACGTTAGGGGCGGTTTGGCGTTGGCGCTGCGAGGTGGACGAAGTTAAGTTTTGTGTGCTTCTCGTTTGGCTTTCGCGGCTATGATACGGTTGGCTTCGTAGACCGCTGCGCCTGTCCTCAGTGTCCTCCTCCGGGTCGGTCGGTCTCGAGCGAGGTCTTCCCAGTTGGACGGGTTGATCTGCAGGGGGGTCTTCAGAGTGTCCTTATATCGATGGATTGGGCATCCTTGGCGGTGGCAACCCGTGGCGACATCTCCAGAGAAGAGTCGCTTGGGTAGTCGCTCGTTGTCCGTCCGCACGATATGGCCAGTCCCATGCAGTTGCAGTTGTCTCAGAATGGCGAAGACGCCGAGGATTCCTGTGCGCTCCAGTGCGTCAGTGTCGATGATCCGGTCCTGTCACCTTAGCTCCGGTATCCGTCGAAGACACCTGAGGTGGAAGTGGTTGAATTTCCGCGACTGCTTCTTTTATACCGTCCAGGTATCCTCAGCGTTGAAAGGATGAGTGCCTTGTACATCTTCAGTTTCGTGTTTAGATCGAGGCAGTGATGGTTCCAGATGGTGTTCTGTAGACGACCGAAGGCTTGGCTGGCTTAAGGAATGCGGCGGGCACTTTGTTCGTCGACTTTTATGCTGCGAGAAAGGGTGCTGCCCGGATAGGTGAAGTCGTTACCACTTGCAGTTGAGTTCCGTTCACGCTGATTTGCGGCGCATTGTGGGCAGTGTTGTGTGGCGGTTGGTCCATGATCGCCGTCTTCTCCGTATTGATGATCAGACCGAAGTTCTCGCGGACGGCGGCGGAGAGATCCATGCGCACTTGCATGTCCCCTTCCGAGGTGGCGTTGAGGGCGCAGTCGTCCACAATAATAAGTTCATGGACGGTAGTTGTAGATACACGCGACTGGAAACGTATCTGCCGCTGATTGAGTAGTTCGCCATCCGTCCTATAGGCGGTGCGGATCCCGGGGCGTTCGTCACGGAAGGCATCGATTGGCATGACAGAGAACATGAGACTGAAGAGGATAGGCGTGAGGACGCAGTCCTGCATCACTCCGTTGGTCATTGCCAGTGCCTCCGAGACAGCTCCATTGGCCGTCACGATTCAGGGTGTCTCAGGCTTTCGTCGAATCCGAAAAGGCAGAGTACAGATGGGTTCACATCTCCTAACACCACTTCTGCAGTTTATAGGCGGCGAAGGTCATCTCGGTGGTCCCACGATGACGACGGAAGCCGCACTGGTTTTCCGGCAGAATACCCTGTTCTAGGTGATTATTAAGGTGGATTAGATTGATGCGAGCGAACATTTTCAATGCGATGTTCATCTGGGAGATGTCTCGGTGGTTGTCGCTGAGCTGGCGGTTTCCTTTCCGTTTATAGAGGTGGAAGATTGTGACGTCCTTGAAATCCAACAGGACTTCTTCTTGACGCCACACCTCCTGGATTATCGCCGTCAGACGATCCATGAGTTGTGGGCCACCGTGCCTGTAGATCTCAGCAGGAGTAGCGTCCGATCCGGACGCTTCTCTGCTGGACAGCTGCTGCACGGCCCTGATGGTTTCGTGGAGAGAGGGCGGGATATCGAGGTCGAAGTTGGTCTCCACTTACGGCAGACGGGCGATGGCGGCATCGGAGATGGTGGGTGAGCGGTTGAGGACACTTTGTAAGTGTTCGGCCCAACGCTGTAATATGCTCGTCTCCTCAGTGAGTAGGGTACTGCCGTCGGCGCTGCGGAGAGGCGCGGCGCCTTTGAGGACAGGCCGTAGATGGCTTTGATCGCGGAACAGTTCTTCCATTAGTTGCGAACCGTATGCAATTTTATCTCCTCGGCCTTGCGAGCCGTCTAGGTGTCCTTCATATCGCGCAGCCGCCGTTGCGCAAGACGGCGGTTACGACAGAAGGCTGCTCTGCTGTCGTCGATGGAGCAGCTGGCGTAGGCTTTGTGCAAGTGGTTCTCCTCGGCGAGCAGGTTACTGATAGCGGCGTCCTTGACATCAAACCAGTCCTGGTTTTGGAGGTGTGCGCGACCGAGGACGGCCAGGGTTGTTTCCTGGACTGTAAACCGCAGTTCACACCATCAGCTCTCTACGGTGGCGTCCTCGTTAGCGGCGGAATCGGCGACTGGTAGGGTATCTGGTCGCTGGGCCAGCTCGTTGCTGAAATGGAGATGGTGAGCAGGCAAAGACAACAAGGCAATATTCAGCTAACGTGAAGATCGCTAACCTTGGGGTCTCCTGCAAGGCTCTGCACGAACCCACATCTGCGAGATGACGAGGCGATGGTCGGTCTAGCCGTCTGCACCCGGAGTCGCCTTTGTCACGAGCGCGTCCTGCTGGTCTCGCCTCCGGAAGAGGACATAGTCCAGGAGGCGCCATTGTCGCGACAGAGGGTGCATCCTGGTGACCTCCTCTTGCATCGGGGAGCGGAGGTAGATGTTAGTCAGGATGAGCCGGTGTTTTGCGCAGGTGAGGAGAAGGAGCAGGCAATTGTCGTTTGAGCCGCGGAGACCATGGCGACTCAGCACTCCTCTCCGGAAGAATGGTCTGTGCCGACGCGGACGCGGAAGTCACCGAAGGCAGTCAACTTATACTGCACTATACTGAATTTAACAAGTGGGTTACTGTTGGTGAGCGAAAGACGCGGAGCAAAGGATTATTACTAACAAAGCGACTTGAAGTCCAACTTCTAGCTACGAAGCTTTAACTCTGTAAGATGAATCAATAACGATGTAATTCCGGTAAATCAATTATGACTGAATTCACGACGTCGTTTTTAACCTTATCAAAAATGCTGCTTGAGACATGTAACGAAATGGATAGGAAAATGCATGTGCAGTAGGATAAGAGCGGAGACCCCTTTTACATACGGAATGGCAAAATGATATCCTAGAGTCTGCTATCTCATATTGCAAATTGATGTGTATTTGAAGGGTATAGGAGGAATTCTAGAATTGGAAAATAAGAGAGGGGAATAAACAAAGAAGAGTTAGGGGGGGGGGGCATCAGGCGAAGGTAGAATTGAACCGTCATTATTGCATAACAGGTGTAGCGCTCGGCAACATAGAGGTTGGCACACACACGGAGAGAAAATCCCTGATGTCAATTCCTGATCCATGGGAGTACTTAACAAGGTTGGTGGCATCACGCCGAACGCACACGACGAGACCATAAAAAGAGGTAGTGTGGAAATAATAAACGAATGTAAAACAACAATCGTGTATATGGGTGATTAGGGCACAATATGAGATAGAAAGTGTGATCAGTATACGATAGTCCCGTCTGGAGTGGGGAGTTTTCCGTCGTGTCTGTTAGGCCACCGGTGGAGAGTGCGGCGATGGAGGCATCTGCGGGGGAGGGACGTGGGGATGTTGAATTTGAACTAGGGGGAACATAAGACAATCCAAGACAAGATGACCGCAGGGACTAGGACCGGCGTCTTCCTGGAACTCCATCCCGCCGTCCCCATCCAGGATCCGTAACTAAGTGTCCTTCGCCTCACTTAAACAACCTGTTTAGCCCGTGATGCGTTACACAGAAGACGAACGTCGTGGGAAGTTGAAGAATAGAGGAAATAAAGTAACAAATTCGAACGATCTTAGTCACAATTCTATCAACGTGTGGAGAGAGATCCCAATTATTGGTATAGTTTAAGTTAAAATCCTTCGTAGTGAGACATCCGGCCGCAAACGTTTCCTCAGCTAACCGAAGTCAGTCAGGCATATCATGGGCAAAACGCGTATGATCAAGATTGAAAAGAACGAAGTCCAATTGGCATGCCGAACTTTACTCAAACTGTGCAGATGCGTCTGGCCGGAGCTGTTCTATGCATCCGTATGTCTTAAGTCTAGAGGACGAATGTGACCATCGAAGATTGACTGCGGAGCCTGTGAAACTACTGTCGAGATATAACTGGCACCAGCAACAAATAAAAGAAAATCAAAGTTTAAATCGATTACGGTTACTTTATTAACTTTACCAAGGCAAACCCACTCAGTCGGAAATAAAATCTTTTGGCGAGATACTTATTCTTGAACGAGGACCCCCTTACTCGTGCTGCAGATCTCAAACATACCTATTGTTCTTCTTAATCGACGACCCGAGATTTTCTAGAACGAAGCAGTCCGTATCCGGCTGCACTTTCTGCGTAAACATTAACACGTTTAATGAAATTTTCTTTCCGAATGCTAATTCGTCTTTTTCTAATTGAGAACAGGCGGTTGCTAAGAATCCGCCAAAATTTTAAGGGAATTGGATAAAATAAAGCAAGATGTTTATAGAATTCAGCTTCTTAATTTTACGTTTCACTCATGCACAATTGTTTCTTCAAATGGGCAGTGCGCACTTTGCTCCTTGGCGCACTATCCAAGTTTCGAAGATCCTCGCTTTAGTCCTTTTCTCGACATTTGCCTTCTCCTTGCAGTCATTTCTCATCACCTTTGTCCTACTCAGAGGCCCACAATTTTTCTGTCTTTATAGGAAGTGTATTTCTCATTCCTTCAATGAGTTTTATCGATCGGGAACCAGCTCAATTGGGGATTAATTCTAACGAATGAGTTAATAGGAGATTCATGCATTCTAAACTCGACGAAAATGTCCTTATTTTTCGGAAAATTCTAAGGTTTTCGATATTGAGCTCAGTTTCTCCTGGTCACTACTATCTGTGGTTAATAGCAACTTACATATTCCTCGTTATCCCTCGGCGCCCAGGGCAAGACATCTGCCAGCCCCTTCGATTTGTGGACTAGTGCTCCCTTCCTTTGCCTGCGTTCCTGTTTTCCTGGAATATTTCGAGTTTTATTAGATATGCGCTTTTTTGCTTGAAAATTCCGGAATGGATCTTAGAATTCCTAAAGTTACTTCTACGGAGGGGATAACTTTCTATGATATCAACTTTATTCACCCAAACTTATGGGTGCTTTCTTTAATCCGTACTTTAAGACAATGAGGTAAATACGGGAAAATGTTATTTTATTAGCGTTCGGTCGCGTCGTAGCCGTCTGCCTGGAAGTTATCCAGTCCCATCAACGCCAATGATTGTAGATCCCTTATCGTAGGCGTTGTTCTCATTGTGATAGTTTTCCGGAAATGCGTCGTCAGCGTCGACTAGCAGATTACCGTAGTCTTGCTAGCCGATGACGTCATCATGACTATTTATAGATTCTGGACCAAAAAACTAACGACTCGAGCAAATCGCTTCTCAAGTAGTTCATATTTATCCAACTGAAAAACTCTGCGCCTCGGTGAGATTCAAACCCACGAAAGTAGGCGAAAGACTTTAGTACAGCCAACGCTCTAGCCACCGAAGCTATCAGGCCCAACCGGGAGACGTGAGCTTAACCACATTTGGGTCATGTACCCGCCTAACGTACTGCAACACCGGAATCCACCAAATCTGTACAGTAAGCTGGCTGCCCACAGGATTTCCCAAGCAGTCTGCATAAAATCCACCAGATGACTACCAAGTAGTTGTCGGTCATCGTGGAAACCACTCTTACGGGACGGGTTGGCGCGGTCCGGCTTAGTGATCCCTTATTCTACTGGTTGACATCATTTTTTACGTCTTTGCATGTGTAGGCTCGAAGCAACTCCTATGCTACCAGATGAGGTAAAAAAAGTTTTTGAACAAGATATCGAGTTCCTCGGTCTTACGACCTGGGGTCGGCTGATTGCCTAGGATCTGTGTGTGATCTAGGTTTCCATTGAGTTGAGCGTCTGGGACGCTCACCGGAAGTCGGGTCCAGTAGCTTAAGAGTCACTTCGACAGTTGGAAAAATCATTTTATGACAGGTATAAAGCTGAATTTTCCCTTCTTGTAGTTAGGCTGTGGGTAGCGACGCTGGACACATTTGGCAGGCGACGAATGTGCTAAAATCACCCCAGCGTTCTCCTCGGTAGTCTTGGAATAGTAAAGAAGATTAATACGCAATCTCTGGGGCAACGCGTTTATTAGTCTGAGCATTCGGTCTCGTACAGGACGCCATCGTCAGAGGCTGTGAGAATTCGACGTCAAATGAGCAGTT